CTACTTCATTTGTGCATCCTTTTAGATTGATAAACTGCCCTTAATATTTACTGTTACTATAGTATGTCTTTTCTGAGAATGGCAGTGGCGTTCACAAATTATGAGGTCTCACATCATGTCTGTGGCAGGACAAAGTACCGTAGGTTTCATAATATAGCAGAGAAAACCGTGGCAAGGACAAACCCATACGACCTGCTAAGAGTCACATGAGAAAATGTTGCCATTGGGTCAGTAGTAAATAGGTGGTATGGGACAGATTAAGGACTCCAGTCCCGATAGTCCAGAGACTTGTCTTTTCCTCTGAAGTGTGGGCTGTTGACAACTGTAAATTTTTTTGAGGGGAATAGCCTAAAGTAGGGGAAAAGCTGCACTGCAAATTACTGGTTGACTTCATGCAGTATGAATATTTATAGCTTTTATTTTAAAAAATTAATCCCATGTCTTATATTTCTAAAACATTTTAACCGTATCTTTTTATTAAGAAGCAGTCACTTTGTGTCAAACAGTAGTTGGTCTGTTTTGTAGTGAACTGTTTCATAGTGACAAAAAGCTGATCAGAACAGTTGCTCTGAATTCATGGTAGCAGTAGCTTTGTGTAAACTGTTTTGAAGGCATAAAAATTACAAGGTCAGTATGGCAGTTCTGCAAGGCTACTGCTTTTGATTGATTCTCTGGAAAGTTTCTGATGGCATGGTTGTAAACTGTAAGGTGAGCTGTTTTTTAAAAAAAGTTTTTTGTGGTTACTGGGAAAGATGTCTTGTGAATCTGAAAGCTGAAGACCTCAAGTTCAACTTAATATTTATAGAACTGGTTGCGCACAGGCAGCGGTAGAGTAGATCTCCCCATGCTCTGTCATTTTTGCGTGTTGCAAATGGTCTTGAGACATAGTTAGGAGGAGAAAGGGCAGACCTGTTTGTGACCCTTCTATGGAAGTCGGGAGAGACATGTCATTTAGCGAAGAGGGCTGTTGATGTGCACAGTCGCCATTGAGAGGGAGCCTGCAGTTGCCCAAACTGAACTGAAGACTGTTTACAACTCGCTGCCTGGTTGGGATTTAAGTGAGACACATCAGTTTATTCCCGAACTTGTCTCCATGCAGTTTGTCAGAAGACCATGTAGAAATCATAGAACCATAGAATGGTTTGGGTTGGAAGGGACCTCAAAGATCATCTAGTTCCAACCGCCCTGCCATGGGCAGGGAAACCCTCCACTACACCAGGTTGCCCAAAGCCTCATCCAACCTGGCCTTGAACACTGCCAGGGATGGGGCATCTACAACTTCTCTGGGCAACCTGTTACAGTGCCTCACCACCCTCTAAGTGAAAAATTTCTTCCTTATATCTGATCTAAATCTGTCCTCTTTCAGTTTAAATCCATTGCCCCTTGTCCTGTCACTACATGCCCTTGTAAAAAGTCCCTCTCCAGCTTTCCTGTAGGCCCCCTTTAGGTACTGGAAGGCTGTTATAAGATCACCCCGGAGCCTTCTCTTCTGCAGGCTGAACAGTCCCAACTCTCTCAGCCTGTCTTCATAGCAGTGGTGCTCCAGCCCTCGGATCATCTTCGTGGCCCTCCTTTGTACCCGCTCCAGCAGCTCCATGTCCTTCTGTTGGGGACTCCAGAGCTGAACGCCGTATTCCAGGTGGAGTCTCTCGAGAGCAGAGTAGAGGGGCATGTTTCATGTGATAGGTGTTAATGGTCATCTTGTGACCATGGAGAAAAACTGAGTAGAGCAAATCTTTAAGGTTCCAAAATCAAGGCAAATGTTTTGAACTCTGTGTATTTATTTTTGATGATATTTCTCTCTTGGAGGGAAACGAATTCTTGGGCTTAACAACACTACAAGTGTTAGACTGAGGTAGGAGACTTCACTGAAGTTATTGTAGCTCTGCAGTCGTCACTGCTGGCTCAGCTGTAGTAGCATAACCTTATTTTGAGAAAAGATTGAGCCAAAACAGAGGGACAACAGTGTTAAGAGGTGAAAAATATAAAGACTTAATGAGAAGTAGAAAAGACAACACTATGAAAAGAGAACTAAGATGTGATAAATTTACAAAGAAGAAAGAATCTTAAGTCAGGTCCTGTCAACCTTTTTACAATATTGAAGAATGAAAACAGCTCTTGTAACAATGAAGAGCAATATTTAAAACTGTCCCTACAATATATTTTAGTGCAATTCATCAGTTACTGCAAAATGCCATTGAGGACAAGGACACAACAGGGTTCAGTACGGCTCCAAGAGGCACAATAGAAGTTACTTGGACAACCAGACTTCTGCTCCCTATAATCCAATCTTTTTATTGCAGTGCTCAGCCAAGAAAAAGGTGAACAAAACCTCATTTTTAATTTCACATTACAATATTTTTAATTTTTCACATGACAATGTTTTTAGGGATTTTTGTAGCAGGCATTTGGTTGGTTGGTTTTATCTGCCAAGAAGACTGTGCAGTTCACTGCTAAGTCAAGGAAAATATTCATAGAATACTGTCCTTCACTAATATAAAGAAGTCTGCCTTGAAACAAAGATAGGTTTTCCAGTGAGAAGTTATGCAATTTGAAATAGAGTGGATACTGCCCTTGATAGTAGCATTTCATGGACTTGTGCATAGTTGCATTGCAATTTGCCTTTTTTTGTTTGTGTGTTTTGGGTTTTTTTTAATACAGAATGTTGTTCTATTTACCTTTCTCTAGGTAGCTGTTTTTACAGTTCAGTACACTTGAACAAACTGGTGCAATTTTCCTCTGTAAATGGCTTTTCGGCTACAAACGTTGCCAATTCATGTGTTTTGGGTGCACAATGGGTTTTCATCTAATGCCCAAAACTAGGTCATTGGATTTTCTTGTGTGGATCAACTCAAGTTATGGTGTCCATCTTTCACTCCTTTGCTTGAAGAGGCTAAGCTACGTGAATCAATAACTGTAGAATATTGAACATTTCTGGGTGACTTATACTCCAGAATACAAAAGCTTGAAAGGAATAGTCATCTGGCTATTGTACCTCATGAAAATAAAGTTTTTATTAGAAAATTAATTCTTTTATTGGGGACCAATGGTAAACCATGCCAGACAGCGGCGTTTTGATACCTGGTCATTGTTGCAGTCTCAGCCAAAAGCCTCATCAGAGCCAGCTTTCTTAAAATCCGTGTGTTAAACAATTCAGGAGTGCTCCTTTGGGAAGGCAAAGTGGGTTTAGCTATACACAGTCCCAGAAAGATCTCTGCATCTGCCATTCCTGAGGTTTTGTCAGTGCCCATAGAGCTGCTGATAGATTTTCACCTCGATGCACGTGTTAACATTGGCTTCTCAAAGAAGTTTGGCATTCCTTGTTTCAGACTTCCACTGGAACCACGTTCCTGGGGCGATAATGGCTCAGTTAAAGTATATGTCATACAGCTTGTACTGATATTCATGCTCTGGGTTTTTAAGCAGCTTTTTACCTTTGCCAAGATGGCAGTCACATGTTGTCCAGGGCACATGCAGGGGACAGGGTAGAGACAAGTCCCTCCTTAATCATTTGTGAACTGATCATCCCACAGTTTAGCACCATTGTTTAAAGTCACGGGACACAATAGGCAGTATTTGATTTGGTTTTTTCATGTTCCCTTGAACTTTGCTTTGGCAAGGGGCCAAGAGAGCAATCTTTAGAAATCAGGGTAAAGGCTGGATGCCTTTCTGGGTTTGTAGGTGCCTTTTGGTGCTGAGCCTTGAGACCACAAGGAGCGATGCTTTCCTTGTCCATATATCTGCGGATTGTGTGCAAAGCACAGAAAGCCAGCTGTTCCACATGTGGCTTCCAGAACGGACCATTGGGTAAACTCAGAGGGTTAAGACATCATGATACTTTCCCCAATATTTTCCCTTTAACCTCAACTTCATTTGAAGAGCACGGTCAAGTTAAACTGTGTAGTTATGCAGCTTCCTTTATTTTTGCTTTAAACTGGTTTAACTTTGGCTAATTTTTAAGAGCAGGGCATGCCAAAAAGTGAAATTCTAGCTTAACGGGAATTAAAGTGTGATCTACTGGGTATAAAAAAGAAGCAAGTAGTCTTCGAGTTTGTCAGCACAGAAAAAGATCTGGTGATGCAGCAATGTGGGTAAGCTTGCTCCCTGAAAGCACAGCCTGTACTAGAGGAGTGTTTCAAGCGATATGGCTTAAACTGGTTTCCCTAATGAATTAAAGTGTATTAAGAGGAGAATGCACAGGGGTGGTGATGTAGCTTTATCTTTGTGAAGGTTTTGCTAGCACAGCTACGCTCTTCTGAAGGATGTGTTTAGTTTTCTTAATTGACATGATGTTGGTACTACTTTTAAGTGCTTATTAGAGTATCTCGCCCTAGATCAAATGTGCCTGCACATACAATTATTCAGGAATAGCTTCATATCTGGGCCAGTTTTAGTATGAATTAAAGTGTATATAGCCATGAGCTAACTGGGAAAAGGGCAAAGAAAATCAAAACAAGCCATTGGAGAAATTTTTCTCCATGTGTCTAAATCAGCTAAATTGTTATAGGGGACACAGGTACAACTGTCCTGACCATCTGAGACCTCCTGGGCTTTCTCATCTACTGAGCTACTCCCAGACTTCCTTTAAATCTCTTCTTTAAGGAGTATTCCCATATTTAGCTAACTAAATATGATCTAGTCCACTTAAAATCCTTCCTTTTAGGCCATTAGGCAAGTATTTCTGACATTGTACCCTACTGAAGTGGACTGAAAACCCAATGAAGAGTCTCTGTCTTTGTTTTTAAAGTCTAGGTACTCTTACAGTAAAACTTTGTAAGTCCATGAGAGCAATACTTCTGTAAGTAGGAAGGTTGAGGTGGCTTTGCTGCATTTCTTTGGAGCCAGTGAGGCACGATATGGTTCAGTGGGTGAACACTGGTTCCTTCATCCTGTGCTGCATGTGAATATTCAAGTGGTTGATGTTTTGTGTAAGCAAAGACATGCAAATATATCTTGTCCTAACTACTGGCTGATATTTATCTTTTGCTCTTTGCATTTAGATGACGTTTTAGATGAGGCAACAAGGAAAGACCTTTTCACTGACACTTTCTGTAAGGTTTGTGGGGCAGTGCTGCAGTTTGAGTCTCAAAGGACGTCACACTATAAGGTAGGCTATAAGGGAGAGTTTCTCCTAGCAAGCACTGGGGCTTTGGTTTGTTTGTTTGGAGTTTCTATATAGTGTTACAAAAGACTTTCTATAGTATGTTTCTCAAGGCTTATACTAGTCTTAGCCATTAGCCAGACTTGAACGTTGTGAAGGTTGTGGGCTCGGTCATAGTTAAGGGCAATCACCTGCATATTGCAGTACAGTTATAGAAGGAACTGAGCAGGTTCAGGCCATGCCGTATACAGGATTGGAGCAGATATGCACCATGTGAACTAGAACATACAGATTCATAGAATCATTTAGGTTGGGAATGACCTTTAAGATCATCAAGTCCAACCGTAACGTATAACTGCCAAGTTCACCACTAAACCGTGACCCTAAGCACCACATCTACACGTCTTTTAAATAGCTCCAGGGACGGTGACTCAACCACTTCCCTGGGCAGCCTGTTCCAACGCTTGACAACCCTTTTGGTGGAGATGTTTTTCTTAATATCCAGTCTAAACCATGTGTATGGCATGAAGCAGTGCTAGCTATAAAGAATCAAGGTCATGCCTTCTGACACTTCACCCAGTGGTAGACACATGCGCTGCTCTGTGTACCCGTGCCTGCTTGAGGCAGGTTGCATGAATCATGCTGAAGGCATTTCTTGGAACAACTGTGTGCCTTGGGATATTAGTGTAGAGATGGGAAAGTGTGCTTTATTTTGAAACTTGATTTTGAGGGTGTGCAAGTTTGTCCTTCTTCCTTCCCTTCCTTCCCTTCCTTCCCTTCCTTCCCTTGCTTTGTGGGTTACCAGTGTATAGTGTGGCATGTGGGTAAGTACATTACAAGTGCAAGAGTTTGAAAGTTATGGGTTCAGAGAATTAAAAGATAGTTGCAGCTGAGGAAATTAGACATTAACACCCTATTTTAGTTATCTGAACTATTATGTCCTCAACAGAAAGATACAGAAATCTCCATAGACTGTCTCCAAGCTGGAGATACTTTAACTCAGCTTCCAGTGAAACCTGTTCCTCTCTACTGACTGTACAGAGAGACTAGACTTTTTATTTAGGAAGGCAGATTAGGTCCCACTGCCTGGTCTTCTTCTGCACTATGACATGGGACAGCCTTGATGTCAAGCCCCTGGGCTTGGTGGTAAAGGAGCACAGCAGACTTGCTCTGTGGCATGGCTATGTTCCTTTCCTTACCTATTTTAGCATCCCTGTTTGTAAGAGGACATGTCAGGATTTTTGATTCCCCAAAGAGCTGATAGTAGATGACTTTGAGGGCTGCTTTAGGCAAAACATTATGAGTAATGCTAAGTACTGTATTATTGATTAAAGTATTGTATTGTTACATGAGCTGACATTTGTCTGCTTGTGGCTCTGCCTTATACAAATACGATTTGGCAAGTGTTGAAAGCGATTTTTGATGAATGAAGTCCCAGTCACTGGATATATCACTGCTTGGATCCTTGCTACTGAAACAGGAATAATTCTAGTCTCTTCCCAGGGCAAAAAGCACACCAAGAAAGTTCATCTTTACATCCAAGTGCATGGTGAGAAAGAGAGGCAGAAGCATGGCCATTTTATCAATTTTCAGGTGACTGTTCCTCTTCATCACTAAATAAATGTTTCCTTCTATACTTCAGTGACTGCTGGTAACCGAGCTTGTCCTTGCCTGGTTTCAGATGGATGGGAGTGGAGCACTGGACAAAAACAAATACTGCAGTCTCTGCAATGTCATTTTTACTTCCCCAGTTTGTGCTTCGTCGCACTACTTGGGAAAGATCCATGCTAAAAAGCTGAAGCAATTATCAGGCAACCAAGCCCACGTTCCAGCACAAACCGTGCAGCCTGTGTCTGGTAAGAACTAAATAGTTTGCATGTGTTTTCCTGTCACTCTCTGAAACAAATATAGAGCAGTATCTTCCTACACTTGCTGTGTCTCTCTGCCTTTCTATTCTGCTAAAGTTGTGGAGCTGTCTTGTGGTAGCTCCTTAGGTGAATAAACAAAGATACTACCCTGTGCAACTCTGAAACCATGGAACCTTGCTTCCAAATTCTGTATCTTTCGATGACTGAAACTATATGCATATATTTCTGCTTTATTATTAATGAAAGGTGCTTATTGTTCTGAGAATTCACTGCAGCCTCAACAAGATGTTCCTGTGATAAATATGATAAGAAATTAAAAAACAATGAGTCCACGAGCAACACCTAACTGGTGCTAGTCCTGTACAAAATTGCTGGACTGTGTTTAAAGATGGAGCATAGCGAATGTGCTCTGAATCACCCTCTGCAGGGTGCCTCTCACTTCTTGGGCTGTATAAGGACTTTAGAGTGACCAGCCATTAAACACAGATTTTTAGGTTTCTAATGGTGGGTTTCTGAATATTCCAGGATTGTGTTCCTTATCAGTCTATACGCTCATATCATTGCAAGGACTAAGATATTTTATAGACTCCTGCAAGTAGTTCAGCACCCAGCGGACTGTTCTCCTTTCTGGCTCTGTAGTTCTGCAGTCACCTTTTTGCTCCATGGAATTGTTTTAGCCTTTCCTTTGCTGTGCTGTCAGCAGATTTATCCTCTTCTTCCATGTCTCCAGCTTTACAGACGCCATCAGATAAGAAGAAGCCCTTGCTGTCTTCAAAAGCTGAAGAGCCTTTGTCATCCTCCAACAGAAGGTTGACATTAAATGATCCAAAGTACTGCAAGCTCTGCTGTGTTCCCTTCAATAAGCCACTCGTGGCCCAGCAGCATTATGTTGGTAAGAAACACAGAAGAAGTGAAGCACGGAAAAAGATCCTGGAGGAGTTAGGAGACAAAGCTGTCCCTGTGGAAGCCAGCACAGGTGGTAAGCAGAACATGAGCAAGTGTTACAGTCTCTGAGTGTAGCTTGAGTACTCAGTTCTGATTTGTTCAAGGAACTGCTCTGGTGTATGCAACAAAATGGTAGTCTTCTCCTGTGTTACAGAACAAGGTCATTTCTTCCTTTCTGTTTGGTCTATGGACTGCTAAAGTTCTGTCTCTGACACCTGTAAGTTGGAAAATATTTCTTACTGACTTGGAGACTCAAATCCAGTCCTCACAGAGTTCTGCAGTCAAATTCAAAGGATCATAGAAAATAGCTCAGTCCCCTAAGTCCAAGGCCAGGATCAGTTGTATCTGTGTCATTCTTCTGATGTTTATCCACCTTGTTCTTAAAAACCGCATGAGCTGGAAATTGCACAGCCTCTGTAAGGAACATCTTCCAGGTCTTCCTGGTCTTTACCTTCTTGATCTTAAAACCTTCTACTGGCATTGAACTCGGCTCTCTCTGACCCCAGTGTACTTCTTCACTGTGCACAGAACAAGAAGCAGACACAAGAATCAAATCATTTGTTTCCTTTTTGTCACATTCTTTAAATAATTGAAAACTGATGTCATGTCTTCCCTTGATCTTTTATTCATGAAACTGGTTGTCATGATTATTTCGATCTTCTCACATAAGGATATTTGTTTCCTAAACAGCCATTGTTCTCAAGCCTCCCATCAGGACTGTCTCCAGCTCAAGCACTGTGTCCAAAGCCAAGGCCCTGTTGTGTGCAACTTCCCTTAGTTTTGAGGGGGTACCATCTGGTCCTGTACAACAGAACTGTCAATCCTTTCTTTAGTAAGGAATTAAAAATCCTACGTGATAGTCAAAAGCCATTGTTAGTATAAAACAGCTCTCATTAAGTCATGCTGTAAGTTAAAATAATACGTGTTGATGCAAAGCAGCAGCCCATTGGAATTAATGCTGCATTTGCTAATGGATGAAGCCCTTGAGTTTGCATGGGGAAAAAGTTACTCACTGGTTTCAGAATACTTAGATCTGTGGATCACACAGCTTGTAGGAGAGGAGAAAATGACAACCTCAAAAACACGAGGATTTTCCTCATCGGACCTTACCTTATATTTGCCTGAGTCTCCATGTACCATATTCATAATGTACTGTATTGACAGTTCCCTCAGCATCTTCGCAGGGTTCAACCAACGCTGCATGAACTTTTGAGCAGGTAATGTTTAAACTCATCTTAATTAAATCTGGGCTGACTGTATTGGTATCTGCTGGTGCTTGCTCTGGGTCAGGTATTTACAATAGTGTTTAATTTTTCAGTACAGTTTGCTGTCATCAACACTTGACAACAGTTTACTAGAATTATCTTGGATCGCTTCAGTCATCAGAAATACTCTTCATTAAAGTCTAAACCGTGGTTGTACTGCAACTGTACACTTCACCACCTTCCTTCATAAGTATTCTTTTAGTGTAAAATTGCAGCAGAGACTTTATATCTGTCTATAAATGCTGTTTATGGGAACATTATGTTAGCACTCTTGCATGGGATGGGATCATGATGTCCTTGGAGTTTTACCTTTCATTTGCAGTCTCTCTAACCTACAGTTTCCTTCTTTTCAGCAGTTGGAGTTGGTTGTTACATATGCCCCATATGTAACATCACACTTACATCTATAGAAACGTACCAGTCCCATATACAAGGAAATAAGCACCGGATTAAGTAAGTCAATAAGTCTTTTGTTGCTGTTCCTCTCTAGTTTGTATTTTCAAACCTTTTCATTAGCCCTGTTGTCTGCTGTTAGGTGACCGTGACTAGTTCATGAGGTTTTCTGTTTTGGCCTGGGGTTGTTTGGGTTTTTTGTTTGGTTTTGGTTTGGTTTACTGGTTTTAAAGAGCACTGTCCATTTAAACATCATACTTGTGACTGAATTTCGGTCTTAAAGTTCCAACAGTTGCATCTTCAATAACAATTCACAGGAAAGGTCCTGAAACCTGTACAGTTTTCCCACTTACTTTGCTATCTGGGGATAGCAGCACCTATTTTGCTACAGCATCTTCAGTGCTCAGTCTAGATGAAATGGTCTGAACTTCAAAATTCCTATTGAGAGGGCGAAGAAGACCTTAATCCAAAAAAGTGCTGAGTCTCCATCAATTGTATTGCTTTTAGGATTCATCAACATGCATCTTACATTTGACATAAGGTCATTTATGGGTTAGATGATAGCTTTTGTACTTTCCCCTTTACCAGAAGAGGGCTTGTAGACTGTGTTAACTGCAGAATGGTGGTTGTGGTGATTTAAGATGTACTTTTTAGAGATTGCTGTGCAAGTAGGCTAAATATCAAAATTGCTTACAAGTTAAAGCAATTCGATAAGACATATTTTAAGTGAAGGCACAGTAATAATAAAACCATGAGAGACTGACATAGAGCTGATACGATTTTAAATGTTTGTTTAGTCAACAGAATTAGAGTACCCAAAAGTAGGAGAGTAGGGAACTGCTGCAAGCCTGTATCTGTATCTTTATACAAAATAAATGTACAAAGCTGGTGAATTAAGGCAGAACAAGATACATCCAAGGGATGAGTCTTTGGAGCTGCCCTTCCCACAGGGGATATCTTTGTCATCTAACCACTGTATCGTCCAGCCTGAGGAACGGGGGAGTAGAGTATAAACTGATAGGCAGTTTTGCCTTGAGAGCACGTTTATCTTTGGGTTTTTTTAGCGATCCAGGTTGGTTGTTTCTGTTCTGTTTTGTTTCTACTGTGAAGTCACACAGTTTGTGGGAAGTAACTGTAATTCGACTGTTCAATAGAATGAATCTCATAAGGAAATTAGTAACTTTATTGCTTGACAGTCAGTATTTAGTGTAATTGCTTCTTATCTGCGGCTAACTGGAGGTTAGTTAATAAGAGAATCTTAAATTTCCTTTTTAAAAAGTAGTTTTAAGTAAGCTTTCATTTTTAAAAGCATCTTATTCTTGCAGCATCCTAGGTCACAGGAAACTCATTTGGTCTTCATGAAATTATTCTGGATTTTTGGTTTTCGCAAATAGTAGAATCTATTCCCTGTAACTTCAGCTTTACAGATATGATCGTGTGTAACAGGGTCCATGTTACACAGAACAACGCACTTGGAATATGTTCTTTTTCTAACTCTGGAAATATAACTTCTTTTTTTTTTTTTTTAACTCAACAGATGCTAAGCACATTGGTCAGTATTAATAACTAAGACTTTCTGTCTAATTTATGCAGAGAAACAGTGCTTGTCAATCTCACGAAGAAATCGAAGAAAACACATAACTCCTTTCAAGATAAATTAACAGATTACATTAAAGTTGAGAAAGCTGGAGATCTAGAGCCAAGAAGGTGCTTAGGAAAAGCAGAAGAGGAAGAGTTTCAAATTAAAAGCATTGACCTTAGTGAAGTTACACCTTCAAACTTTAAGTGTGAACAAGGCCAGCATTCCAGCCTTTTCTCAGAAACCCAGTCACCTACAAATACTGGGGGAAACAGATTGTCAAGCTGGCCATCAGCTTATGAGCTCACCCTAGAAAAGACACCTAATTGTTGCTATAACAAGGGACACTGTAAAGAAGAGCCAGAAGAGCAAGTGTCTGAGGTGGCCACCATCAGAGATAAGAGCTTCAGGCTATCGTTTGCAGAATCTAAAGACTTGTACAAACTTACGCTTGCTGAAACTTCTACCGTCTCCTGCAGAAAAGAGCAGAAACTTCGCAGAAAACTTTTTGAGGAGGAAGAATACGTCAGTGAAGAGCCGAAGTATGAGAAAGAAGCCACAAGGCAGAAAAGAAAGAAAAATGATGAAGGTACAGATTTTGGAAAAGAGAAGCAAAAGAGAATTAAATTTGAGACAGACTTGGTAAATGTGAAGAAATCAAGACCTTATAAAGGCAAAAGACTTAAAGAAAACCCTGCTGAGAAGGAGAGCAAAAAGCACAAAAAGGATAAAAAGAAGCCACAGACAGATGACAAAAGAGAAGAGGAGCTTCTTTGGATGGATCTGTCTTGAGATATTGATAAACATTTCACTTAGCTTTAAGAATCCTGTTTGTAGACTCACTTAACCGTTTTGTACTATACTATGGCTGTTTGTTTTTTTTTTTAGCAAAGTTTTTGTTCTGATCTGGAAGTGAGAAAAAGCCCATCTTCTGAACATTTTGGGCAGTAGCTAGGCATCAATTTTTTTATCTTACACATAGAGCAGCCATTGCAGTGATACAAGTTTGAAAATCTGTAATCTCTTCTGGAATATACCGCAAATAAGGGTCATTAGTTTACAGAATACTGTTAGAATTTCACCAAAATGTATAGCTTGTTTCTAATATTAATTGTTCCTGCTATTGAAGGTTTTTATTATTCTTCTAGGAAAGTACATAAACACTAGAGTGTTCCGGGCCATGTCTGTAACTATTTCTCTGACGGATTTACAAGGAGAACGTGAAAGACTTTTGATTCCAGATTTTATTTGCTATTGAGGTTTGGGGTTTTTTTGTTTGGTTTGGTTCTTTTGTCATCCAGTTCCGAGTGGAAAATCGTTCTATTAAACGTGCAACGGGTTGTCAGAAATACATTGTCTAGTAGATTTTTCTTGTTGTAATCCTGATTTTTAGTTCAATTTGGGAAACACAGAAAAGGTGCAATATGCAAAATTAATTGCTAACATGACGCTATATTCTGCTTCATTCACTCAAAGTAACGTACAGAAGGAGTGTTAGAATGAGGCCAGATTTACGATCCAAACAATACCCTGAAAAATCAGTAACAGCTTTTTATTTCCATTTTAAATGTCATCTCACCAGACATTCATTCACAGATTTACGTTGTTGTGGCAGGAGCACTGATGTCCTACATACATGCAATTAATTGAGAAACTCAGACAATGGGGTTCAAGCTCTTGTGTTGCTTCCAGGACCCCAGATGTGACCTTCGGTAAGCCACAAACACTGCAAGTGCATTAGTCTGTCCAGGACCTGGGACAGGCAGGCTGCCCAAGAAAAAGAGGGTTTTTCTGTGCAGAGCTGGGGTTGTGTAGAGGATTTGAAGCCTGTGTGATGTCTTACTGGCAGCTGCTGGACTGAATAAATAGAGTTAAGTTCTGAAAAGCGATCATTTAAAAGCCATTTTATAAGACACCGTTTAGTATCTCTCTTACTGCCTTCAGGTTGCAAGAAAGCTTTTTCTGAGCCTTGATGTGGGATCTAAAAGCCATCGCGTTGTTGGTTTGCACCGCTCAGACTGTGCTTTCCACTGGGTTAATCTGTTTGTAGAGGCACCTGTGCTGAGCTGCTGCTCTCGGTAAATCTGCCCAACTGAAACTTTCTGTTGTGGGTTGTTGTGGTGTGGGATGGAGTAGAGACCAGGGCCCTCAAGCCTTGAATTCTGTCTGATTTGTCTTAGTTTTAATTTTGCAGATGTAAGAAGCAGGTTGGAGAGCCTTGAAAATAATGTAGTCTGCGTTATTTTTTAAGGATTTGGATTTTGTGGTTGACTGCAATCTTGGATTTAGAATTTCCCTGCTGATGATAAAGTTATAAATCTGAGTAGTTGGCATCCAAACTGCCAAGTAACTTAATCCATCTCCTAACAGACAAGCTTAACTAGATACATGTACAACTAAACAAAGTTGAGCAGAAGCACGTAGGTGCCAATAACAGTTCCATTGGTCAGAAGCCTCAGGAGCCTCAACTCAGAGGACCGTGGGGATTCAGCTTTAAGTCTGAAGTGTACATAGAGTCCTTGTTCTGGTCCTCTTTCCTGGTCTTTTGAGGCTGATAATGCCTCTGCTTTCTCTAGTGGCTTTTTTTCCTCACTCAGGAGTTACATGCCTTTCTGTATCTTTCCAAGGACTCT